ATTTTATTATTGTTTAGTTTTTGTTATAATAAGAGTTAAAAGCAGATGATTGTAGGAAGTTTTCTTAATTCATTGATGTTGGGACTATCGAACATCACGTGCAATACATTGACATCAAGAATTAGAAAGGCGGGCAGACGATTGGAAAAGTTTGGCATGAAGTTAACTACCGTAGAGGTGCTAGGCCTAACATTTAATATGTTAGAGTAAGACTAACAGTAGAAAAGGAGATGAGAAGACAAATTTATTCCATCAAAGTGTGATTCTAAAGTAACTGAATCAGCCTGAGTGCACTTTGACAAAAGGAACATAGGATATTTAGAAGAAAAAAGACCAAACAATTGTGATAACTCGTGCCACAATTGTAAGTGAATCACACACATAATACTAGTGCAATAGTAATAGAGAAGATAGTTTGGCTTGTCAACTGAAATTCTAAAGTAACTAAATGGGCCTAAGTGGACTTTGACAACAAGAAGAGAACTACATATATGGTATTTATGATATGCCTATAATCTCTATAGTGTGAAGAATTTCTTGTAAACTGAAAACCTCACAAGTAACAAGATCAAATCCATTTATAATCTGAAAAAAAAGACACTAACTTGCAAGCACAGAAAATAAATCCATACTGGTGCTCTATTAATGGATTAAAGAGAAGTTGTGTTATAATTTAACTGGGATACATCTGGTTGCAAAAATAAAGTTCTTGGCTGCTACAGATATTTCCAAAGCAGGAACAGAGCTGAAGATTATATCTATAACATTTGCAGAAGTGGAAGCTACAGCTGAGCCAGCCAAAACAATACCACCAACAGAACTAGACACTGTGTTTGGGAACTTCTGCAAGACTGTTGCCTAGATCCACATAGAGGATATGCATAAAAGTGTCACCTGGATCAATCCCGAGTCAAAGCACCTACTGTCACACAACGTGGTTCAATTGTGCAAGTCATAAAACTTACAACTTGAGATTTCATAGAGTCACAAATCACTGGACAACAGCACAACTGACAATTATTGAAAATCTATGGGAATAAGTGACCACTCTTTAAGCAAGGTATTTCTTAGTCATGACAATTGGTCTGTCAAGAGAAATATGACTCCTAGAATATGACAAGCTTGTAAAGTAATGGAATGCAAACATATCCAAAAGAGATCTCTGACCTTCGTACACACATTTCAAATGTGTACACCACCAATCTTGTTGGTGTAAACAGTGACTCTCGCACTCAGCTTACTTCTGCCAGCCGTTCTGGTGGGAAAAAAAACTTCTGATCATAGTGACTGATTACTAATCAATTTACCTGTCATAAAAACTATAGGTCATTGCTTAACACCTGTTCACACAACTATTAATAAACTGTACGTGCAGATATATTAAGGGCAAAAAACAGCATGTGGAAAAAAAATTATTTAATTTAATTTGGTTGTTTTATTAATGTAACAGCCATTATGGTGATGACATAGATTTGATCTCCAACTATGTGATCATTAATATATTGTAATTATAGACCTCTAGTTTCACCAAATTTCATTTAAATAAATGCTTTATGACCATTTGTTAATGGCCATCCATAGAGAGTGGAGAGTATCATGACATTTTTATTGCCAGTAATTTATTAGTTTCTCTGAAAACATGTAGATTGAAGTGTGGGCAAGAATGTAACTATATGATGCTGCTCTTTGTACTTGGAATTAATTATCAAAGGAAATGTATACGTGTTCAATTGTTTATAATCTATATTTATTGATGAAACATTTGTCAACTGAAATTCTAAAGTAATTGAATAGGCTTAAGTGGACTTTTGACAAGAAAAAGAGAACTACATATATAGTGTTTATAATATGCCTATAATTTCTATAGTGTGAAAATTTTGTTGTACATACGTTTAACTTGTTCCGAATATATATTATTTTGAAAACAAGTGAAGTGTGTGTGCTGTTTATTTATCATTGAATTTATCACCAACAAGTCACAGACAACTACTGTAGAAGAATCCTAAGCCCAACAACAATATAGTATATATTTATATATTATTCAGAAATATAAGTAAAATCCTTTCATTTTTACAATTGGCAAAAAAGAAGGTTATATTTAAAATTCTGACACAGACTATCATCTACAACACAAGCAGCTGACTGCTACCTTTCAACTAACTATGATTTGTTGTAATTGTAGGGCCAGGCTCCAAAAGTTAATCAGATGATTTCAGCCACAACACAATGCTATGTCAGTGTACAGATGGTTAGAAACAGACTTCATTAGATTAACCTCTTGTATATGCTAGACACACATTAAGATGCATTTCAATCCTAACAAAGTTGATGCCTTAATTTAACTATGAACTGCAAGGATGATCAAACCGTTTCTAGTTAAAAACAAATGAAAAAAAAAGCAAAACTCAAAATCAGTCCTTATCTTTCAAACATTTATCAAACCTTCCCTTAAATTCCCTTACATATTCTGCATCTGTAATACCTGAAGACATCCTATTCCAAAGACCCTCTTTTTAAAAAAAAACTGTCCAAGCTGAATATCACTCCTACCCAGCTAACATTTATATTTTTTCAAGTCCTACCATTCTTAACATTAATTATGAAAAAGATGATGCATCAATACTATCAGTTCCTTTAACAATCTTAAGAACTTCATTCAGATCCATTCTAACTCCTCTTTTTTACACTATAAAAAGTATCACATATTTTCAAATGCAAAATTACGATCCTTCTAATCACTCAAGAGTACATTTGCCAAAAACAGCAGATACTGGCCACTAAAGCTTAAACTGCTCCAAAACATGTACAATTTCTTGTCTATTTCCTAAACATGAAACAAGTGTCCAAAATGTAAGGCTTGCTTACAAAAGATAAGGCTCAACTGCTACCAATCATAAAAATTAAGCTCTAAGAATATGCCAAGTTAAGGATGATTCAAGCAACAAACAACTGCTCCTTATATTACAAAAAAGTATTTAACAAGATGCATACATTTGTTACCAGGATTACTGATTATCAAATTAAAAGTACTAAATATATTCAAGAATTAAAAAGAACGGCATTAAATAATGTAAGGATATCACACACAAAATATTAAAATTGTGCAAGACTTAGATTTATAAATCTGAGTTCTTTCAGTCATCACAAAAAAAAAAAGGTCTTATAAACTAGAACGTGTAGATGTCCTAACTTATAACACAATGGCTTGAATTAAAGCTAGTTACACTTAAGTACATTTTTAGTTAACCTACCTTCCAAAGTAGGGTCAATGACAACAAACTGGTTCTCCAACACTGGTACATGGCTTAAAAAGTCACGCTTGTACGCTCCATATGTGCTCTCATTATCATCAAATGGTACCAGTCTTTCATCACAAAAGAAAAATCTCCATTTTGTCCAGTCAGTTTTCACACTTGGTAAACCATTCACCAAATACTTTATCAGACTGCCACCTATACAGTATTTAAAGAAAACTAATGAGGTACAATATGAGGTGATAATTATTTCACATACAAACAAGCAGTTTTAACAATCACTGCCATATGTGAGGAATAAACATCATATTTTAAATTATTTGTTTAGTAAGTTATAGCAGCTTACTATAATTATGTTCAGGGGCTGCATGGTTTTCTTTTTTCACCAATTTTTTTTTGTTTCGAAATAAGTAACAGAAGCAACCTAAACGACTATAGCATCCAAAACTTTTGAATGTCATCTGTTTTTCTATACATCCTTCTTTCTTTGAAATGTGTACTTATAGAAATTGTGTCTTCATAAAGCAAGAATGTTAGATTCATCGGATCTTTTATGTTTCATGCACCGCATTCAAATAGAAAAGAACATTTTTTTAATGTAGTTTTTAATGCTTATTTCAAAAATATAAACTAAAATTTGGAGAAATAAAAATTTTGCTTACAAAACAAAGAAAGTACTTTCAGCATTACGTATGTACCTATGTATTTAAGAGAATTGCAAAACATCAAGACAAAGTATCTAGTGACAATGTAACAAATTCAATGTGAAAATTCAGAAACATTCTTAAATATTTGCTTGAAGAGATCATCATTTTCATGTCTACGACATCAAACAAACTTCTTACATCTCTTAACCACATTCCAAGTACTTTCAATTTGCTGCAGATTTCAGAAATATAAACTAAAATTCAGAGAATTGATTTTTAAATGGGAAGAAATGGGAAAATATTTTTTAAAGAATTTTTATAATGAAATTTATTGTTTATTTGAATAAACATGTAATTATTTACTAATTAGTCTAACTTGATCTAACCTCACATAAACTGACCTAACCTAGCAAAATAAAAAAAAAATTAATTTCATTTCTCCAAATTTTAATTTATATTTCTTAATTCATCATTAAAACTATTTGAACGCTGTGTATGAAAAAGAAAAGATCCAAGTCATCATATAAAAAGTAAAAAAATAAGGTAAATGTATACTGTACTGGTTACACACCTAGCAACATCAAGAAATTTTTTTGATAATTCAAAATGAAACTTAGCACTTAGTGACTCGTAACATGTCTGAAAAATGCATCACACATTTGTGTATATAATTTCCCTCCCTCCCCCTAACAAGTAATTATTACAACCGCCATGCAGAAGAATGATGATTTGGACAAAGCTATTACAAAGCCTAAAGCATTCTAGACAACATTTCCCATAGAATGTTCAGCATAAGGAATATTGCTGTAAAAAACATAAGAAAATATTTAAAAGCTCAGCTACTGTATCTAGTGGTGAATGATTAAACAAAATAAACACTGAAATGAAATGTGCAAGATTACTTAATACCTATATTTTGATTCACTTACTAGATGAAAGCCAAGTGCCTCTTATGTGTTTACTCACAGAAAACACTCAGAGCCACTGCTCTCATCAACTTATCCTACATCTACAGGGTTTACATAAAAAGAAAACAAACATTTTCTTTCTTCTCAACATTGTACTGTGCATTAAAAAATAAGAAATGTTAAAACATTATAATTAAGAACTTCTGCAAGAGTTTTTTTTTAATTATTTTTACTCCACACGACACTAGTTTTGGGTTAATTTATTTCACTGGGTAAGAGTTGCAAGGATTTGCAAATCAGACACCCTGATGCCTTCAGTTCAAGGGGGGCTTGAAGCAAAGAAAGCACAGAAACATGCTCTCCAGTTCAAAATACATTTCTCAGAGTGCACACCAAATGGCTTGACAAATGTAGCATGATTACTTATTATCTAAGGCATTTCAATACTGTTCAAGATCGAAGGTAGTGGGTTTTTTTTACCTCCTAAATGAGCTTGAGACTCACTATGATATTCCTTATTAAACAACATTTTCAGGAGCAATCATCCCAGATTTATTTTAAAAACAAAAACTTTGTGTTCAACAAATAATACACAATGACGGTCCTACTGCCATAGGAATGACAAACATCTGGGCATCAAGAGCTTATGATAAATATATTTCTCTCACTGCGCATTACCTTGCTGTGGTTTGATTTGGTGTTTGAATTTTGCGCAAAGCTACACGAGGGCTATCTGCACTAGCCGTCGTGTAATTAGCAGTGTAAGACTAGAGGGAAGGCAGCTAGTCATCACTACCCACCGCCAACTCTTCGGCTACTCTTTTACCAACGAACAGTGGGATTGACCATCACATTATAACACCCCCATGGCTGAAAGGGTGAGCATGTTTGGTGTGACGGGGATTCAAACCCACGACTCTCAGATTGCAAGTTGAGCACCTTAACCACCTGGCCATGCTGGGCCCCTCGCTGAGGATTTCCACACAAGATTATATGCTTATTTTCTGCAAACATACAAGCAAGAACATTTTTACAAAGTAGGATCAAGTACTGGCCTTGTTTAACATTGATGGATTAAGGATAAAACTTTACAGTGTAAATGATAATACAAGCAATATCTGGGCAACTCTGAAAAGGATCAATGAATTAGTGCCTGGAATTTCCTATCTTGGACATAAACTGTAATTAGCAATCATAATTTCACCCCTGAGTTAGGTTACCCATGCTCAGTGTTTTTGCAGTACAGTAGGTCATAAGTGGTTATTTTATAGTTGTAGTGACCTGTTCTTAGTTATATTCTGTTATTAGTTGTTTTTATAAATAAAATAACCATATTTAATCAGCAAATTTCTTTCTGTGCTTATTTTTCCAAGTTTTATTTATAAAATTGATCTAATTAGAATAACCTACAATTATAATCATGGTTATTTCAAATACAGAATTGATAATTGAATCAAATTTAAAAAGTGATAATCATTCACCACTAACTTAGTAACTGTCTCATTACCATTAACCAAAACCTTGCCTTCAGCATTGTAAATTTAATGGTTAAATCCCCATTTTAACATTTTGCTTACCTTTAATACTTGCTGTTAAATCTTAACATCATCAGCCAACTATTTCTCTTAAACTCTTTTGTATTTCTTAATTTATTTTTTAAACAAATCTGTACCTTTCCTATAGTTCTGTGAATCTTCCAATACAACTTTACAGAATGGAACTTTCATCCTGTAATGTCATATTTATTCAAATTATTGTACAAGATGTTCATGATTTGGAACTTTAACAGTTTATTTGTTACAACTTTATAACTTAAGTTAAATAAAACTTCAGTATGCCAGTCATATCCCATGATAAATTACTATTAGTATAATACTATGACTCACACAAGTATTAGCCAAAACTCAAATTAAACTGCATTAGTGCATCACACTCGCATACTCTCTACTGGATAAACAATGCTATGGTACAAGTCACACAACTAAACCGTATACTAATAGTAATGGGTCTATATAGAGCTTATGCAATGTGGTGACACGGTCACTCATTCCCTAATCGGTAAGGTAACAATTGACGTCTTTTAGTGTTCGAACTATAGTATTAAACTAACAATAATATATATTATATTATCAGCTTGCAAGCTTACTTTCAGGAAACCTGACTCTATATAAGATTTTTAAAATTATTAGTAGATTATAATATGTTTAGTTTGAACTAAATTTAAAATAAACACGGATGTAAAGTGTAAACTATTAGTAATAGATCTAGAAGTTAGAGAGAGAAAAAAAAAGATTTTACCTGAAAGTCCAACTTTAAATTCATTAGTCTTTTCCAGACAACAGTTTGATTGTTTTTCAATCAAGTTACATAATTCTTTTACAATTTCTGTCTCATCTTTACACACAGTTATTTTTGTTGACATCTTACTCTAAGGAATTTACTTCACTACCTGTTCCTGGGTTTTGTATTATATGTTATGGATTAACTTATGACATCATCAAAGAGGTGTGTGTAATATCTGCGATTGCGCACTCGTGATATTCAAGACCTTATCTTCGAATAACTTAAACTGCAGACCCTACCACACTAAAAAGTATAACGTTTCTTTAAAGGTTTCGAGGTAACTTAAACATTTGAGCAAAATAAAATAATGATGATGATACAAAGTTGACTAAGAAATTAAACGTTTTGGAACTATACTTATTCCATCATCAGCAAATCTATGAGCTTAATCAATAGGAAAAACCTTCTTTACGGTAACTCACATTAAAATGTAACGAAATTGTGTTAGAAAATTATATTCACCTAAAAAGCTATTTGAATAAAATATTGGGGAAAGAGCTCGTATTTCTTTTAAGGCCTGGGTTGTCGAGAACTCAAAATTTTGTTTGGTGTACATCTATTCCTATAAAATCATCAAGTTTTTCATGTATTTCCCCTACTTGTTTAGTAGAGTGGTAAAATGTTTCTTGAACATTACCAAAAGTTTTAAGTATTTAATGTCACTCAAGTTGTAATAAGAAATATCTTTGCAAAAACGGAACCTAAAGAGTTCTTTCATGCCGAGTAACGAAAATCCAGTTATTCCTTATAATCATCATAACTGACTCGATGCATATTGCAATGTGAAGCGAGATTGTGGTCAACATGTTACTGTTTTCCTACTTCTGAGTATTGTTGAACGGTTTATGCACAGTCATATCAAAAGTATTGTTACGTCTCTGGTCGTTAGTTAATTT